AAAATTATGTATTAGAATATAAGAAATTATGCGTTAAAAGTTACGTATTTATGTCTATATTAGAAAGAGTAGATAATGTAATTCACGGTACATAACTAGAAATTCCTTCACGTTAGTATAGAAGCGTTGAACGATGATAAAATTCGATAGGAATTCCATTGGAGAATTGAATCTCGACAAGGATCAGCGTTCGACACACGAGGAAAGGTTCGTGAACTCATTTAAATGGTTTCATCGCAATTCGCTTTCCCAAATCGGTTCAAATGGAAACTCGTCGTTCGAGGGCTAATTGTTTCCCTTCCACTCATTTTTCTCTCGTCCGACTAGTTCCTCGAGCCGGACAGTCACGTCTCCTTGCCGTGGCACAAGTTTCGCTCGTTTTCATTCCCGAAATTAGGAGCGTTCTGTAGAGAGAACTTTTTACTCATTGTTACTCGGTGCCTTTGATGTCGGAAGCGGACGGTTGTTGCGCGTTGCCAATTTTCGGTTAAGCGCCACGGGTCGACGAGAACGTTTGCGACGCAGACTTTTTGGCGGAACTACTTTGCAATTCCAATTGGACAGGGATACTTCGCGACGAATTATTAAGTAGGAAGATTCACAAACGAAGATAGTTTCGTTTAATTGCAACGAGCGGTAATTCCGTTTTTTATAATTAAAACGAGTCGTTGCGAACGTTCTTGAAGATATTTGCGTTCCCCCTTTCATTCAGAGAGTAATGAAAAGGAAAAGCACTTCTATTCGGGGTACATACAAATCTTTTATATTAAAAGCTGAATTAATTTCTTTTCCGACCGTGCCCGTCCATTCGCGACAACAAAATAATCTGTAGCGTTTTTAAATAACGTTAATGGATTATTAAGGCTGAAACACACGGACTTGTATACGTCGCAGGTGTTGCGTCGCAAGATTATACGGGTTGAAAGAAATAAAAATAGTGGACGGGCTGTTTCTCCGTCTCGGGACGAGGTAAATTATTTTTTAATGAACCAACGAAGGTGGCATTGTAAAGACCTTGTATCGGAGGTCTGGTTTCAAATTGGCCTTTAATAATTTAAGGTTGACCCGTAGTTTGTCTTGTTGCACGCTGATTAACGAACACGGGGCGGAATGTAAACAGGCCGCCAATTAAAATTGTACAACCGTAGCGGGAAATTCTCGTAGTCTGACATTTTTCTAATTATCCAGTAATTATTATTAAAAGTGGAAAGAATGTATTATTAGAGAATCGATAGAGAGAGAAATTTCTTAAAATATCAATTAATATGTCCGGCGTTACACATTTAAATTCAACGAGATAAGTGCCTTCCGTTCCAGTTTACTCCTTGACATACAAATAGAACACAATTTGATGCGTCCGAAATATACTATTTAAATTCTATTACTAATTAATATTAGTTAAGTTCTTGACGTCTCGGAGACGTCAAAATCTATAATGGCTCGTGAAATTTCTCAGACGTCGTTCTATGTCATGTGGTTAAACATTGAAATTCGTTTCTTTAATAACCTAATCTAGTATATTTAAATAAATGAACAAGGATATTGTATTGTCTGCAGCGTACAAATATTTTACTAGCTGAACCTAATTCCAGCCGGTATTTTCATTTAACGCCTGCACTCTATAAAAATTTTACGCCTTCCTTTTTATTCTGTTCTCGTAAACGTCTTCCTGTATAACGCAGAGAAATGTGTCACGTAAAAGAGTTTCCTTGAAAAGAAGAATTGCATATTGAAAGTAATTTGACTCGGTTCAAGATGAAGAAGAAGAAGATAGACAAAAAATGTGTGATATAAGAGACAGTTTCTTCGAATTATTATTTAATAGAAGCTCGTTTACAGTAATTTATTCATTTGCAAAATATTTCGCATAAATCATCTCTTCAATTGCTTTCAAATTAATATTCTAAAGTTATTAAGATTTTGTGTTTACTAATTAATGTACGATTATCTAATTGAAATTCTTTTTGAACAGATTCAATACGTTCCTTTGAGAAGCAAAATTCATATAGCGTTTAGGTGGGAATTGTTGTGCGATGCTATTCCGCTCTATCGCTTTGACTATAGGCTCCCTTTCACGCGTTTCGGCTAAAAGCGAATAAGGTTCCCAGGTCTGAGAGTGCTCCGAATGATCAAAGCTATCGCCGGGTATAGACCCGTAACTAAATACTTTCCTTCTAAACCATCTACGAATGAGATAATCAAATTTTGCACAGATAATCTCCTAATTTATATGAAGCTTGTTTCTGTCATATTGAAATTATGAAGTCTCGATTCCAATTTCATCTTGTTCATTTTAACTAGCGTTGATTAAAGTGTACCAAATACGGACGGAATGTAAAATAAAATGTAACAAAACCAGTCGCTCAATGCGGAATTGAATTTTTGGAAGTTAAAAACCGAGCCTGCGCATTTTGCATCGATCCCAAAAATTTAATACCTTTAATTCGCGTGGCCAAACATTATTTCGTGGCGCACATCGGCGGTGGTTATAATTACACAGCGAGCGTACTCAGTTTAAATAGAATAAATCATATCGCCGCGCGGCTTTTCGACCCTGGCAATTAGCGAACGTTAATTCGGTTTGAAATTTATACTTTCTGAACACTCGACGAACGCGTTAATCATTCCGCGTTTCCCGTCAAGCATAATCCCGTACAACTGCGGAGGGCCGGGGACGCAAAAATTATTATACGCGCGATAAACACGGTTGATACCCGTTAAACGTGACGAGCGCGCAGTGGGCAATTTTTCCAGCAACTTGACAGTAATTTATGTCCCCTCTTTTCAAATGTAAATACGCGGGATCCGTCGAATCAGGTTATTTCGATAATTAGCAATTTCAGATTTATGCATGATCGACCTGTATTGGACATCGTTTTAATTTCTTATCGAGCCTCATTAGAATCAAGTAATTATAAATTTACTAGGACAATTACGATCTGATCTTTGAACGCACGTAAACCGTGCTTGATAAGGAAACTTGAACTATCGTTCGTGTCCGTGTAATTCCAGATACTAGCAAAGTCGTGAAAATAAAACTTGGCTTTTAACCCACGTTTACTGTATTAAAATATCTCGAGGACCGGATGAAAGACGAATTCCCCTGAGAGATTAGTTGAAAAATTCTGTGCTGCGTTGTTAAACGAAAAGTGCAGTCATAAACTCTACGTCTGCGACGTGATCTTTATTTCCAAAATGTCTGCGAGATATTAACTACTCGAGCGGAGTCGTGTATAATTTTTCATCCATCAACGTTGGCAAACTTCCGTGGAAGTAACGGGTAGGTCCTGCTGCAGTTTCATTCTCCATAATGCATTAGGCGACTTTGTAACTTTTTCTTTTAAATGAGGTAAATCATTTATAAATGATTTTTATTCATTTAATGTTTATATAAAATATATTCGAGGCAACTACATTCCGTCTTAAAAATGTATAATTTATTTATTACAAACAATGTGTTTTTACTTTGTTTTAATTTGTTAACACATCGATTTGTCGAATATAAAGTAATAGTGGTTTTGCCGATGTGCGAGCAAATAAACATTTGGACGCGCGAGGCGACCGCCGATCGATAATTAACGCGTTATAATCTGTCGCGGGTGGGCTGTCGAGAGCGGTGGCCGCGAATGAAATATGGATTCCGACGGTAGTGGAACTAGCCGCGGGTAAAAGCTTCCGGGACTAGAAGACGTCTGACAAAGGGTCTCCTCCATTTAATATCCATCCGCCTCGCTCTGTTCGCGAACGCCTCTCCTATCCATACTCAATTACTTCGGGATACGAACCATTCCTCTGCTTCCGATACGGCCATTACGGAGACACTCGGTTAAATAAGAGGGAATTAACCCCGTCTGTGTGTGATTTCCAACCCTTCCCGCGATTTTCTACCGCTTTGACAGAAACGGTGAAGAGGGCCTGACGAATTTTCAGACGGGACGAACTTCAAGTGCGCCGGTTATCGATTTTTTTATAATTTTATTTGTGGGAAACCAGCGTTGACTGGTCTAAGAAATCTACGTAATCTGCGAAATCGAGTTTTCTACCAATGAAATATGCAGTCAATTTTGATTCGTTTTAAAATTTAACGATTTCCGTGTCAGTGGAACTCCGTCAGGCTCCAACCGTAAATATTTCAAACCTCTATAACATTCTCATAAAATACATCGCCTAATATATTCGCGTCATAAAAAGTTGACGATCCCTTCCGTTTCCTGTTTACATACGAGACAACGCATTAGCCGGATCTTACGCCAGGTCTATTATTCAACGCATGAAACCGAACAGTGTGTGTCGATGCCTAAAGAGATCCCGTAAGATCGTAAAAGGATGCCACTTCCGTTCGGAGGGTGAATAAAATGCAAGAACAGCCCTTAATCCCAATGGAATGTCTAATAACGCAGTTTATTAATTGATTCTACTAATAATGCGTATTATAGTATGACGTGCAACACTTGAGCCCATTTGTCAACCGTGGAATTAATGAGACACTATGATTCTTTATTCATTCGTCTCTTGAGTAATTAGGAATTTCAGTGTTAAGAATCAATTTATACTTGTCACTCAGGCAGTTCTTATAAATAAAGATTCTAGTCCATATTTTGAAGAGACTAAGCTCGTAGAACTTGTTAAAGCTGTTCAAGCTCTATTTCTCTGTTTCTCAGGTGTGTTAAAAAGCGTAATATGGAGGCGGTTTTCTTGTATCCTCGCTGGCAATCTCGTTGGGAAAGGCTCAGACTGCGAGGACCACTCGACCACTCGAGCCTGTTATAATGCGATTATTCCATGCTGATTTTCCGGTTGCGCGTTTCGCGGTTGAGGGAGCCCTCGAGTATTCGACTGCTCCTAATATTTTCGACCTTCTTTTATCAAATTACCCCTCCGTCTCACCCTCGAGCCATGCCACATCCTCTCTCCCCTTTTCGTCTCCGTTCGCGCGAGCGAGAACGTTTGTCCTATCATTAGGTCTGTTAGGCGGCTCGACGGATTTTCGAGATCTCTATCATCGCGTACTCCCTCCTACTCTTCACCCACGACGACGGTCCTCTCAATGTGTTCCAACCGGCGTTAATTAACGCCAAGGGGTAAACCCTTCCATTTTTCTCTCTCTCCTTCCCCATTCGGCTTTCTCTCTCGGCTCGTTCTATTTCAAGGAGAGTAGCACGTGGTTAACGCTCAACTACCGACGCGACGGTACGCTTGTGCTTACAATTAAATAATGACGGTTTAACGTTCGTAACGACGCATTGTTCCGCTTCGTTGCACCGCGTTCGTGGAAACCGACCACGTGCCTCTCCGCGGGTTCAGTTGATTCAGCTAGTTATAGTTATGCAGTTCGTTTTAGCTGGGGAGGATCAGCTAATGCTAATACTAATTCCAACGGGAATTGTTTGCGGCTGTCAGAGATTAGGGGTTGTGTCGAGTATTATCGCAAATACTGAGTGGGATAATTATAGCTGAATGATAATATCTTGTTTTGATAAGTAATTAAAATATACGTAAATAAATGAAATTATTTTTTAAATTATACAGAAGTGTAATACTAAAATTTTTTTTTACCTCTAACATTTTATAAAATGAAACCAGAATTTTATTCACCAGCAGTACTTATTATCAATATTTCGCATTTTTCGATAGGAGATTTATTTATTCCACGAAAAGATTTGCAGCAAATTCCAACATTCAATTGAAAGCGATTTACGTGCTGCGATTCTAGTGAAATAGAAATGGTACGGATCTACTAAATGTACATATTTAGGTTGTAATATTTGCATCTTACTAGCCGAACTAGTAGGAAATTGATAGCCAAAGTGAAGTCGTGTCTGTGTTAAGGAGAGACGTCATGCCAAGAGAAACGAACACAACGAGCTCAGGTTTTCGTGCATGGGACGAGTTTCATATGCTATACTGACCTTGTTAGGCGGTGCTTGCATCCCGTGGAACGGCAGGTTCTCGTAAAACGTCTTCGTCCCGGACTCGGGCAGGCCCTCCGAAACGCTGTTCACGTGATTGTTATTCGCAGCTTGATTGGGATCTGTAAACGCAAACGAAACATGAATTCGTCTAATCTGACAGACGTCCACCAGCGTGTGTACATATATGTTCGGGAATTGCTACGGTGAAAAAGTCCCCGTGCATTGGAATCTGGTCATGCAAGAGCCTTTGCTTATTCTTCAAATCTCTTGAATTTGATTCTTATTGAAAATATTCGGATTTTTGTATGAAAAAAATGTGGAAATATACGAAGACTCTTGGAGTGACCTACAACTTTGAATATTTTAATCTTGCATGTATTATTAATTAGAATATGTGCAGATAAAATGTTACCTATATACTATTAGACAAAGTTAATGATAACACTTTTCCCTTACAATTAATTTGAAGTTAATATTATTAATTTTTATATATATGTAACTTTGTCATATTGTATACATGATTTATTTTCACACATATTCTATTAACATTGTGCGATTAAAATATTAATAGTCTTGTGAAGATTGCTTGTATACCAGAAAAAATCGTGTGCCCTTCTCCAAAAATTTGCTCTACTGGATGTTAATAAAAACCTGTAACATTTTTGAACTGCGTTTCTACGCACAAAAATTCTAGTAATCTTTCCAAATTCCTTAAACATCCTTCAAAAATTTCTCACGTTTTTATTAACACGAATTAGTAAACTCTGTTTATAGAGGGTAAGTGGAACCTCGAGTGCAAGTAGATAAAGAGAGTCAAGAGACAATCAGTAACCAGAGACAGAGAATTGAATTGATAAATATTCACGTGTAATTACAAACACTAGCGTAAGTGAACAGGTATGTGAGTCTAGAACTAAGGAAATTGAAATGGACAATGGAGTATATTTGGCGTCTCTTGATTAGTGTTTCCATTCTGGGTAACAGAACTACTGTTTGGATTAGTGTCTCGATAAAACGAAGTTAAACTGTAATTAAGAACTTCCTTAATTAAAGTGTGATCTACTAAGTTTAAGTTGTTGGTGTTAGGAGTTTATTATATCAAATAAAAAATTTGTTGTGTAATTGTATGTTTGAGGAAACGAGATAAGATTTTCGTGTGCATAATTTTTTAACACAATGTTAGTATTTCTAAAACTTCCTTATCCTACTAAAGATTTTAAATAAAAAATTGCTAACTATAAGTGGTACATTTAATTCCATTTAATGTATAAAGAACATCCTGATTATATTTCTGTATAACGAAATTAGAAAAGCTGTCTTGCCACGTGGCACAATTACCAATTACCTTCTTATATAGTTTAAATACAATACAAAATTTGTACTGTACAATGTATACGCTTTTGAGTGCAATCATTATTTTAGATTTGCCATAATAACTCTTAAACGAATAATTTCAGTTATTAATTACATTCCTTCTTCTTATCTTCCAATTTTTTACAGTACTGTTTTTTGGAATTTTTATTATTATGTCAAACGCGTACATGGAAGGTGCAGGATATAAATGGTATTATTTACAAACTCTGTTCCTGCTTTACAAAACGGCTCCTGTCAATGTTAAATTTATAACTTGCGTTTAATCAATATCCGTGACGTGCACAAAAATTATTGGATCGACTCACGGAACAGTTTATTCCAAGTGAAAGAAAAATATTTGGTCCTCCACCTATTATATTACCTCTGCACCTTTCATCATTCTGTTTCACTTTATATTACAAAAGAAACTGGACATATAATCCGTAAATTATAGTAGATTAAAAAAAGAAATTTCGAACTATAACCGTCCCTCTTTCGTTTTTAATTTCTATTCTCTTCAGCATCTTTTAAAATGCTTTCTAGTATAACGCGGTAAATATTCAACAAATTTTTTAATAATCTCCTGTACTATTATTCTACGCTGAAGATGTTTGCTCACGAGCAAAGATTTGCTAAAACAATCAAATCTCAAGTCCCAAGAAGCAGTTTAATCATTAAGGGAGTCATGCCATTCTTTTTTTTTTTTAATTATTATACGTACCTGCTCCTGGCTTTTTTCGCTTACGGGAGACGTTGCCTCGGTTTAATTCGAACGACGATTCTGCATGCAACGGTCGTTGTCGCGGTGCTATTCTTTTGTAAGTCACGGCTAAGGGAACACACAAAATAAAAAAAAAAGGGAACAAGCAACGATGCAAACGAGGAAAGCATGTTCTTCTTTCATGCATCACAATTTTTGAAGTAATGTCGTATGTACAATCTCGGTAGTGGTACAATCTAAAAATCAAATGTATAATAACAATGAAAGAAAAACATGCTAAATAATTTGTGTACAATACCAAACAACATACGCAACTAACAAAAAATGGCTACGTTAAAAAATGTAAATCCATTTATATCCTAAAAATTATATTTAATCGCTAATAATAGAGTAGCAACATTATTATTATTATCGTAATTATTATCTTTTAGTAAAACCACCGAGGAGAAATTATTTTACTTTTCACTAGCTTCATTAATTAACTAATAAATAAAATTGTTTATTGCAGAAACTTTTCTTTCGCCCAAGTTTTGTTTGTCGCCAATGTTTCAGATAAAAGTTGTAGCTCTAATTCCCAGATACAAGAAAGGTCCTATGCAATTTCCTTCTAACTTCACCGAAAACAGCGATCACCGACTGTGTTTTGAGCCCCATTCATTGCCCCAACGATTACACGGGCACTGCCACTCTTTAGTAGTGTTTCCTCGGTGATAAAACTTTGTTCTTATTAGTTTAATTTAAAAAGAGCGGTAGTGAGAAATTTAGTTTTTTGCCCCTGTACGGTGGAGCAGCATCTGCATTTAATAAACAACGTTAGCGCGAACGACATTAAACACGCTAATTACAGGAAGTACACATTAGTACTCCTTTTCCTGCGAGTTTTCTTCCTTCTTTAATCCATGCCTACGTTACACGCACCTCTTACAGTTCATTTGTACTTTCATCTGGATTGTTAACAAATTATATGGTTAATAAATGTATACTCTATTATTTGATAGGGTTTCAATTATTAAATGCAACAAAACATGATTTAAAAAATTATTTAAGTATATTAATTTTCATATTTCTTTCCAATTTTTTCTAATTGCACGTGGTATATGTATATATATATTTTATATTATGTTATATAATAGATTGTACTCCCATTTCTTTGATCTGCATTTATATAATAATTATAATGATATAAATTCTCATGAAATTTATATTATGTGTAATTCGTATTTGTAATAGAGAATATATAAAATGCGAAGCTCAAACAAGAGGCACCATCTAATGCACATATATATGTCATTATATTATGCTAATGGTAATTCATCAACCGTGAATTCGACTGCACAATTTTTTTCTTGAAATATTGGCGAACTGTTACATGTGGCTCGCATTTCTCGCGTGAACGAGCATCAAATCTTGTTATCGCAGCCGTGCGCTTATCAAATATTCGGTACACTTGAACGAACGCGTTGCGAAATCGCAGCCGGGGCCACGCCGTATTTTTAATTAACCAGTCCCGCGATAATTTACGCGATAAATCGCAATTTGTTGCAATTTCATTCCATGATGCTTCGCTCTTTTCAATCCGCATTCATGGCAATCGATTACGCATTCGGAAAATAATATCGCTTTTATAGATGTTGTACATTTATTTGCTTAACCGAAAACGTTATGATTTTAATATTACTCTTTATTTTTCAATATTTATATTTAATATCAGATCAGTTTTATATTATTATTGTTTAATATTTTATTTTTTTATTAAATACATTTATAAAATTAGCAGTTTTTATATATGACTTTACTCTATGCATTGAGATTAGCCATCAAAAGTTTCTTTGGACAAATTGTAACAATTTAAAGGCGTAATGTATACGTAATTTCGATTGGCAAAGCTCATTATCATTACGAAAAATTGACATAATTTTAATACATGTATCCCTCGTATAACAGTACGTTTGTAACATGATTTCAATGTAGTATAATGAACAAATTAGAGAAATTCTCATTCAGTATATGTTGAAAATTTTTAATAATGTATTTAATATATACATATGTATATATTATATAAAAAGAATATGACGTTTCATTAATTTTCGTACAACATGATTTTTGCATTTTCCGGAATCTAATTACATGTCTTCTACAAGGGATATCTGTATCCGTTTCGCAAGCGAACTTACCTGTCTTCTCTCTGGAGATGCCGGGCAGAGTGGCCTGCTCTTTAAGCTGTACGCCGAACATCGCCTTAATTTTATTAGCCCTGGCGAGCATACCCTCGTCATGCATACCGGCCAAGGATACGGTACCCTGCGCGGTGCCCGCGGTCTTCCGTCTTCGGAACGCTTTGCCGGCGGCCACCTTGGCGATCGTCGTCTCGACGAGGAAACGATCGCCGATCCTCTCCTCGTTACCTCGGCCGCCGGGCATCAGCGTCTCGTTCACTCTGAGGCTGGGACCAGATCGCAGGCTGTGGCTACGATTTATGTGAACCAGAACGCCCGGCTTCAGCGGCCACCTGGGCGCGGCCGTTGGGTGCACCGGCGACGTCTGAGTCGAATGGGACGACACCGTCGGGCTCGGTGGCCCGCCGTCTGGACTAGATTCGCAACGATCGTCAAATATCACGGCTGCACCCTTCCCAGTGCTGTGTTCCATGTTTACGGTATTCGAAGCCGGACTTCTGAGCAATTGGGATTTAGTGCAATTTCACGTTACTTTATCAGAAATCAGTGATAACTTTGCAAGTATTTTTAATCGACGATGCGATCGATAGAATCAGGATTTGCTATTTTTTATTGTAATAATCTGATCAGCGAAGGTTTATTGGACAGAGAAATTGATCGAGAACTTAGGAGGAAATAAGTTCCTTATATTTAGAATATCTGTTATTTCATTATTAATTTAAATTAGATTATCGATTCAACTCGGGTGCATAATAACTTAAGTAGTAGTGCAGGTTTTAACATCTAAACGAATTTTAAAATGGATCTCTAAATGAATTTTTAAACGAATTTATATATAATTTAGGAGACAGATACTTTATACTGATTATTTTTATTTAAAAGTCATATCTTGAATTCCTTTCTGATTTCATTCGATTATAAAAATTCAATAACGGGCCAAATTCTGTTAAGGCAAAAGCATGGACGCGGTATGCGATATAAAACGGATAACCATGAGAATCTCAAAGGGTTCTGCAGCGTATACACATTACAGGGGAAACAGGATTTGCACGATTCGCTGCGCTCCGTTTCAGAGGTCGAGAGAATCGATTTCGCCCCCTCCGCTGATCAGATCGTTTCGTTCCGAATACTGTATCTAAGATTATTTGAATTACACGAGAACATCAGTAACAATATGGACACAGCACTTAAAAGGGTTTGCTTCCAGTATAACGAAGAATCCTTTTAATTATTTCGACTACGATTTGCACAGAGTGATCGAACTCGTTCTTAGAGAATCTCTACCCTGTCGATCACTCAAATTAGATTTCTTAATATGTTTCCCTTTCTTATTATCTAAACAGAACTTATTTCATTTTAGTATTATTTACGATTCTCTTTAAAGAACTGCTAACAACGCGAATTCCTTGAATCGATCAGATTTTTATTAGGATTATAACTGTCACGATAATTTGAGCACGTTCACGTTGAAACGCGAGACGTCTTACGGTTAAATATTCACCAGGCGTTGAAGAAAAATTCGCGACCGGCAGAAGGATTCTTCGTTTCAGGTCACGATTTGAACGACAGCCAACTCAATAACAGAGAGAGAGAGAGATATACAGAGAAAGAGAGAGAGAGAGAGAGAGAGAGAGAGAGAGAGAGAGAGAGAGATTTCTACTCATCGGGCATGCATCCCTTCACCTACCTTTCACCTCCGAAAATGTCCTCCGCTGCCTAGCAGCACAGAATAGAACTGACTATTGCGACAAACTAACAGAGACAGAATGGCAATAAGAAGTAAAGGGTTGGAGGACTGTTGCAGTAGACATAACTAATCGTCCCTAAATTATACAACACAACGGCACACGACAGCGTTACGATTCGAATAACAAAGAACTCCGCCGCTATTACTTCCTCCCTCGTGCAACGCAACAAAGCAACACCTTACCTGACCGTATCTCCTGCGCGGTGCAGACTTCGACACTAAACTATTATAAGCCGGAAGTGGTCACTAAATTATGCAGTGGGACATGCATTCAGGCACGGACAGAGAATACGTAGTCGAGAGAGAGAGAGAGAGAGAGAGAGAGAGAGAGAGAGAGAGTGGGCGTAGGGGGAGGGAAGGGGGTAGGTTTCCTGCGAGATTGCAGATCGGAGACAATCTCGTGAACACTACACATATCACAGAGGGCCTCTGGCTTGCATTAACGCACACCAATAAAGTCGATAAGTCATGGCTTCGATAACTACGTGTACATTTAGCGCCACGATACGATTAACATTGTGTCTAAGTACATATCTAACCATCTAGTGAAAGAGACTCTATTTACGTGATTCGCAAAACGATTCAAACGGGTGAGCGGCTATGTAGCAGGTGTTTAAGCGTTCAAATTTGCACTGGAGCGATTGATCATAGAAGTTTGTCTCCCCGATTCTATTTTCGATGTTCCAATGCTCATTAAAATGTGTTTTTGGCTTCGTTTGTTTATATTGAATAAATAACGTGTCTACTGGGAACGAATTTGTTCCCAAAAGTTAGTTTATGTGTAATTTTGTCATATTTAGTTTTTACCTCCAATTTCTATCTAATATCAATTACCACCTCACAGGAAAATGATCGAAATAATTATTATCAATATTCTTAACACGTTTTATAAAAATAAATCGTTTTCTCGTCTCATTCTAACGTAATTAAAACACTTGATGTGCGGAAAATATAAAAAATGCATGCAAGGTGCAAGAATATTCATTATCTGTACATATAAAACATCATTTTTTGTGAACGATTAGAGAAATCTCAGTTCAGAATTTCTGTTTTAAAGTGAGCACTATTTAGAAAAAGAAGCTCGTTCACTTCCTGGAAACTGGAATTCACCCAAAATCCTATTCAGCGCCGAACGTCGCCTAAACTAACGATACATAGAACCGATAATTCTATCGATGAATCGCATAACGAGATTTACCTACATCGAGTTAGTATCTCCGGTAACTGCCGAGTCCTGAACACGTTGTTACGCGCGGAGTGTTCACCAGTTCGAGAGAGAAGTTAAAGGAGCCATTTAGCGAGTTAAGAAACGTCGGATGAATGAAATATCACACTTTATATGCTATGAATCTTAAATCTATTTATATATATTGCGCATCGTTTAAATATTATATATATATATTACTGTACATAATCAATAGTTAAGAGCATAGGATTTGCAACTTTTAAGTAGCCTTTGCATTGATCTGCGAAGTGGCTCTGTGAATTCCTCGACAGTGAACGTCCAGCCTGCATTACATTTCCGCGAAGCGTGTTGCGCAAAACAGTGGCGAAAATCCAAGTGAATTATTAGTGGTGACACTGCGCATGCAAGTCGTTTCATGAAGCAGGCGAGGTACGGTTTCCCCCGACAGGTAGTGCACGTTTCAGCAATATCGTGGCCGAAAAAAAGGGTTGTGCATCAGGCAGTCGGAAATTGGGGTAACCTCTCGAAATAAGGGCGGTTCGCGCGAAGTGACCAGGCAAGAATGAGAGAACGTGAAGGGGAAAGGGGAAGCTATAATTGTGCGGAGCGAAATGGTAAGAGTAAAGTGTTTTCCATGCAATGCGTTTCGGGGTATGTACTTACTGTTCGCGTTCCTCCAGCTCGACCACCCGATTACTGTCTGTGTTTTGTTTAGCAAGTCCAAATTAAAAAAAGTAGAGCAGAAAACGTATCAGTTTCTCTGTGTTAGTGAAGACTCTACCTGAAGAACGAGTCCTGCGCTGCGCTTGACAAAATCTCCATTTCCCGACTCGATTTTTATGATGTAACAAAACTGTTTTAAAATCGACAATGTTTCGAGGTACGTTTATGAATGGCGCAGCACAGGCTCGTGATATTTAACAATTTGTATACATGTTATGTATGTACTTGTCTTTGCATCCAAAATGGGAAATTCGCATCGTCCATCTACCTTATATACTATTGCGTAACACAATAGACATGCTTGTGTCGATGTTTTTATTTCTTTCTTGTAACTAGCATGAACTATGCGATAAAAACAACGCAAAATAACGTTATGCAGTGCGTGATTTTTATGCGGGACTGGCTGCAGCCATCTAATCGTTCGAAAATACAGATTATAAAAGACTTAAGTCTTTTTTTAAATTAATATATTAATAAAATGACAAATTGGCAAATTATTCTAATTCTTTTGCAATTATCAAGTCCATTTATTTAATTCAGAATTGCTTCAGTTAAACGATTCGGTGGCTGCAGTCAGGTGAAATGGGTAATTAATGTTACTTTTTATACACGTCTGGACTTGTAAAATGTTCTGAGCTATAAGACAACGCCTCGGCTTGTTTTGTTCTACGCTACTCCAAAAATATACAAGACACGAAAGCTGATAGGAAACAAATAATATTCCTCGGTCTGACGGAGCTTACATTATTACTTTTCATTTTTTATCCTCGTTTCACTTTCAACTCGATCTAAAGCACATCATGCAATTTTGAATTGAAATCTACTTCCTGCGATAATAATTTCTACCGTCGCGGGACGTCCCGTGGAATGATTACGAAACGATGAGAACTTCGTCCGGATATGCCGCAGTTATAAGTCGTGCTTTCCTGCGTGTCTCGCTTATTATCAGACAATGAACCACGTTCTAACACGATTTGGATAAGCAAACGGAACTGATGTCAATATTCTTTCTCTTTTACTTCCATCTCGATAGTAAACTAATGAGATGTACGTTTGTGCAACGACAAATATGCATTACTTTTTTCCAATTATTAGTGAAAAGAGTATAAGTCATTACGAAGTTAGATTGACAATAAAAAATATAATAGATATAAATAAACTTCTTCTTGAGAAATTCTACTATTATTTCATACTTAATTCTCAAATTATTACATAAAGTAATACTTATTTGTCTTAAGATAATGTAATGTAATTTATGTTGTACCATTTTGCGTGGAGAATGTGAGGCACAATATTTGCCTATTATAATGATCATTGATTTTCCTATGGATTTCTTCAAGATTTTAATTCGATAACAATTTTAAATATAAATTGCTAAATCATTTCACATAAAGAATAATTTATAGAATTAAAACTTGTTACGTTTGATTAGTATTAAAACATTTGTCTAATCTTGAAAATAACCCATTTGACGAACCTACGTCATGCGGATCGTTGTGAACAATAGATCACAGTGACAATCATAAATTAAGAAGTTAATTGGCAACTTACATTTCATCTGGTTTCGTTTGCGCCGGCAGACGATAAAGATGACCACGCAGATGATGATTATCACCAATATGAGAACAACTGCGGCGACGATAATGATTAAAAGGAGATTCCCTTCCAATTGATGCCACCACGGTATATGACCTGCAATTTATGTTCATTCAATCAAATTAGTATTGCTCATGATTTAATAACGAGAAGAGTTTAAGTATTAAAAATACTATTGATAATTTCACAGTTTTTCAAGATAGCATTTAAACCAATGAGAACGAAAATTGCTTCACTCTTTTATCTCATAGATTGATTAATATCTACAAATAATAAAAAACCGGACGGTACTATCTGTTTTCCAAGCAACGAGATAAAATAGTCCATCCGATAGGTGCAATTCAAATGTTGGCAACAGCTGTGAAATATTGCCCACATACATAAATAGAGGAAACTACATAGAAGACGTCCGATCTCTCCCGCGGGTGGGGGAGGAGAAGCTTTTCATATTTCTGCTTAGATTTAATCCACAATTCACTTGCTCGCTACAATATTTCACCGCGGACTACCTTTATTGCGGGGGTTTATGTGCGTGTACAGGGTTCTTCATTTTAATCAACCCCCGTCCCGGATGAAATATCTTTTAAACTTAAGCAACCTCCGACCCACACCAAGCGATACTCCAATGTGAATAATTTCTTCATCGACCTGATTAGTCGAAAATTTTTCCATTCCTCCCTTTTTTGTGATAACATTTTTTACATT